TAATAAAGATGACAGCAATATTGGAACACAATGATTACAAAATTTTGTCTGCTTCAATTTAGAGTGTCAGCATGTCCTCTTTTAAGATATTGAATAGTAAAAAAAATTCAGTATTTTTGATACCTCAGGCTGACTAGTATAACAAAATTGTTTGACCGCATCAACCAAAACTGACCATATTTGCACTGTATTTTGTAAATATATATAGCCTCATAGTAAATCAGTAATATTTCTATGTCAGGATGGATTGTATAATAAAGATGAGAGCAATATTGGAACACAATGATTACAATATTTTGTCCGCACCAATTTAGAGTGCCAGCATGTCCTCCTTTTATTCAAAATATTTAATCGTAAAAAAAATTCAGTAGTTTTGATACCTCAAGCTGACTTGTATAACAAATTATTTGTCCGCATCAACCAATATTGACCATATTTGCACTTTATTATGTAAATCTTATCATGCTTATAGTCGCATAGTAAATCAGTAATATTTTTATGTCAGGATTGATTGTATAATACAAATGACAGCAATATTGGAACACAACGACTACAAAATTTTTCCGCATCAAATTACAGTGCCAGCATTTCCTCTCTGTATCCATAATAATGAACCGGTACTAAAGTCAGTAGTTCGGGATGGTTTGTATTTAAAACAAAACTATTTATTAACATGATTAAATGGCATCATCCAACACTGACATGACTGATTTCATATGTACTTAATAATGAAAAGTATAAGCAGTTTTCTTCTTGGAATAGTATACTGTTAGTATATTATGTCGGTTGATTGATTTTGTTTGTAGGTTAACGTCCAGGGGCAAATATTTCATTGATGTTCAGAACGAGTATATTTTTTCGGACGTCCCATATATCTATTATAATCGGTGAAGGATAAGTCTGTCTAAATTGACGAGATGGTACATAATTGTACAACACCTTATCAATATCCCTACACTGTTCAATTTTCGTTTGAATATTTGGCAAAACCGGATCGTAAATCCAAGGCAAACAAGGGAAATTACGATGAAAAATCCATGTATTAATGCATAGAGTTATATTTAGGAAGAGACTGTTAAAAATTGGGAACGAAGCAACGAAAACCATGATGTTTAAATCCCATCATATAAAAATATTTTTCCGATGCGTTGGATAACCATTCTATCCGCCTTCTAATTAAAAAAAAAAAAACCTTTCCTTATTTTTATGAAAGCTGCATGTATATTTGTCGATCAGAAATGTGTAGAATTATAGCCATTATTTAATGTTTATAAGAATATGAAATGAAAAGGAATATTTTAATGTGTATGATATCTATACAGAGTCTACCGAGTATAATAATTTGTCAATAGGTCTGGTCTGGAGCAGTCCTAAAAAAGCAGACCTAGGTCTGGTCTACCAGTTAACTTGCTTGTCTGCATAAAATTTCTCAAGTTAACTGAAGAATCTGGCAAAATCATTTCTGAAGTTAGAGATGAGTTGCTACGATCAGGTATTGTTCAAGTTTCTAGAAAGGGTTGATATGCATTTTTACGACGTTTCCTTCATAGTGGAAATATTTTTGTGAGTCGATATGTGTACATGTAACTTTTGAAAAGAAAATATAGAAAATCCGCTACTTAAAGTTATTTCGAATTAAAAGTGTTTATGAAATGTTTTGGTTTTAAACACATATACGTAAAATATAAAGATAAAAGTGGTTTTAACAATATAAAATAAATGTACACGAAGTTTATTTCATAATTTACACAATCAGTTAACGCGAAAAGTAAACGCGCGTTTACTTTCAAGTGCACGTAAAATACTCTTGTGAAATCTGTAGTAAACGCCCGTTTACTTTTAAGTGCATGTAAAAATTAACTTGTGAAATCTGAAGAAAACGACCGTTTACTTCTGACTAAACGGACACAGAGTCAACGCGCGTTTACTCGGGTAGACATTAGAAATTTCCATTTTGACCGCGTTAACGTAATTATAGTAAACGCGCGTTTACTAGTAAATGCGAAAGTTGAAGTTAACTAACGAAATATGTGCACGCGGTGTAAACGTGCGTTTACTTTATGTAATGCTTGGTCTGCACCCAACTGTACGTCTAAGTATTTGCAAGTACTCTCAGATCTGTATTTAGTGTCTAATTGATCATGTTGATGTGGATCTGTATGAATACTTTGCCACGTGTGGTCTGTGTTTTTGTTAGATGTCTTTCTGCTGTTTATCGATCTTGTTAGTTCACCCCTTTTTAACTGATTTAAAAGCTTGTGCTTATGTTTTACTGTTACACCTCTATCTTAGGTTCAGGGGATTGGGGTTCACGCCAACAAACTAGTTAAATCCCGCCATATCCTGTATATGCATATCCCAAGTCAGAAGCCTCTAATTCCTAGAGAGTTGCTTGTTCATGTATGTCATGTTTGTTTTTATCATCAATATGTAAACAGATAAAGCTGTTAATTCTGTCGTTTGATTTGTTTTATATTTTTCAGTTCAGAGCCTTTCATCGCTGACTGTACGGTATTGGTTTTGGTCATGTTGAAGGCCGTACGGTGATATTTAGTTATTAACTTGTCATCTGGTCTAGAATGGTGAACTGTCTCATTTGTGATGACACATCACCATCTTATTATTTTGTGAAATAAACCGTTAACAGTCTTGATGATGTCAGTTTCAAAGATTTTTTTGTTTTCAAATGAGAGTAGTTTCTTTTACAAAGTATGATTCATCCGTTCCTAATACAGAGTCTTCTTCTTTATTAACAGATTGATAGCTTTTGTCTTGGTGATTGATTTTACTGAAAGGGTCTAGTGTTTCTCTCTGAATAATCATTATACACACAACATAAATAAATAAAATGTCATGTAAATGAAAAGTGTTAAGGCATCGTCAAATTTATTCTATTTCGAGTGGGTTTTTTTCGGATTTTACACAAACGTTGTTTACCTGTAGATTGTATATATAGCCATTTGCGCATGCGCATTTCCTTTTTGAAGGCATCAATCGAAACGAAAAAACAGAGGTCTTTCGGGTCAGTGTATATTTGCGTCAATTCGAGTTTCGTTCTGAGATTTCAAACATAAAAACAGGTTTTAATTTTTAATTTCGCTGAATAAAAACAGAGTTATCAGTTTTGATATCTTTACACCATAAAATGAAACACACGGAAGTGTTTTCTTTTACGATTTGTGATTTGTAATATCACAAAAACAAAACAACTGAAAAATACCATTTGAATTGTGCTTTTGAATATATTTTTTAATCACGCAATATTAAAATTTAATCCCGATATTCGATGGGAACACAAATAATTACGTGACGTATTATCAATTGTAGGGGAAAAATGAAATAAAGACATTCAATTGTTTTTTTAATTGATGGAAATACATTTGCAAGATCCAAAATCAAACGGATAATACATTTGAATTATACTTAGAAATGGTCCATATATATTTGCGTCCATTCGTATTTCATTTTTGAACCAAAAACAAATGAACAAAAAAAAAATTTATTTGGTTTCTGGTTTTTCGTATTTGAAAACAAAATATAAATCCAAAAAAAATATTTTTCTCGAAACCAAAAATAAAAAAGGAAGTGCTTTCGTTTTCTTTCTTTTTTTTTAATGTGTTTAGACCAAAAGCAAAACAAAACCAAAATAACTTGGTTTGTCGTTTTGTAAAAAAAAGAGATTAACGGAAGTATTTTGGAATCTCAAATAAAACAAACTGAAAGCGACATTTAGATTCAAGTTCTGATTAGTTGTCATTTGAAAAAGGACAATGTTTACATATTTTGTTTAGAAGCCATCGTATTTGAAACTTATATAACCTCCTTTACACTTCTAGAAATATTGTTGTATTAAAGCAAAAAGTTGGAAATTATTTATGTTTAATATTTTATCAGTGGTCGTGTTTTATCTAAATACTCGATGAGTAGTAGTGTACCGTCCCTTTTGAAATTTTAAAATCAAAGAGTTATGTTCTGCAATGGTTTGATGCGGATCATGGTCAAAGTCTTTTACTGCCACTTGCAATGAAGGTATATTGGACAGGGACTGAAAAGTTGACTCATTTATATACATCATACATATTTACATTTAAATGGATTCACCTTTTTCATTTTATATAGCATGAGTTTTACTATACACGGACTATACATGGACATGTTTGATGTCATGCAATGGAATTATTATCTACATCTTCACTGCTTCAAGGGAACTGTTGTGTCTATATAATCCGTTTCATTAATGAGACCGTTGTTAACTGTTTTAATTTTCTTTACAATTGAACAAAAAGAGACAAACAAAGATGCATCGACAGGGTTAGAGTCTCCTGCTATTGATGAACCATAGGACATGTGTATAACTGCTATACCTTTTTAGATGCTGTGATTAGAAACATTATGCCATTGTGACTTAAAAAAAACGTTGGGAACACACGATAAGAAGATATTCATGTGTGAGTTGTTTTTTTTACCAAATCCGAATATGGACGGACGTACAGTTTTGTTTTATCAGAAAAGATACTGACAAAGCTGAATGAGTGATGATTAAAGTTTCTAATAATGTGATGGCAGTGGTAAGACCAAAAATGTAACAGATTCTACCATCAGCACATTATATGAATTAAAAAAATTGTCGAGTTCGGTAAAGTTTTACTTATGCAAATTTTAAACAATTCAGTAGACTTTATTTTAATTATTGTAAATCTTTAAATGCAAAATTAAGAATCAACCCTAATCATAGATAGAACAGCTCTGTTGTTTGCTATTTTCCATGGTTCATTCTTAGTAAAATATTTCATTACATCAAATTACTTAAGTCTTTTTTACAATTTTTCCCAGCAGTTTGTAAAACTTCTGAAAAAGATTGTCAATATATTAAATGTATGAATCTTACAGGTATTTTAGATGAATCCTGCTTTATAGTCATAAAAAGTCATTCTCTGTAAGCATCATAATCATGTGGAAATGACATGTCACAGAAATGGTTCAAAATTTGTAAAAATGGTCTAACATACTGAAATATACATAAAGATTCAGTTAAAAATTTTCGGTTGCTATGATAACTGCTGAACACTTTTTGGTCAATTTAAGTAAGTAAAAAACGATAAAAATGTGCAGTTACAGTTGGATGTATATGGCCTTTTAGACACAAAAGAAAAGTGTGTTTGTTGTTATGACTAAGTATGGTTATGACATATTTAAAAATATTTTTTCCTGAAATAATTAATGTTATGTGGGGGATGGGGACAAGGAACTGGATCCCTAGGCATGACCACATCTGCATTTTCATCTACATCTTACGACGACCCATCAGCACATTGATGACTATACGTCGGCGCATCACAAACAGACACTTAATGAAAAATAACAATTTCATGAATGCAATATAATAATAAGCAGAAATTAAAAATAACACATTTACATTTATTTACAAACAGGGTTAAATATACTGACTTTGGATCAGTATTTTAAACTGATCCAAATAGTTAACGCTAATGATCATCAAATTGATGTTTTGTTGAAGTGAATTCCAACGTACAAAATTTGATATAATTGTTGTGAGTTGGTGAAACTGGTGTAATGACCAGCTGTGGTAAACGGTAAATATTTGGATCTACTGCTATAATGTGTGTGTGATTTTATACATCATTGTTACTCCATTATCGTTGCTGTGAGTTTCAAATGACTTCAATTTAAAATGGTCAATCATGGAAGTGACACTACTGGTGTTATGGTACCTTACATCACCATTATTATTATCTAAAAAGAGACCACAAGCTTATAGCTCAATCTTTTGAAAATTTTAGTTGGATTCTGTTGGCTTGTAGAGAGGAATTTTACAAATCTGGGCCGTATGACTTGTGGTTAAGCGTGAAGACTAAGAGTTATGTCCCTTTACAAATGGGAGAATTGCCGAGTTTTTCCTTTCAGTTCTCTAACTTAAGTTTGCCTCATCCAAATGTTATGAAACTTATACTCAATACTTATTACCAGAAAACTCAGATCATGTAAAAATTTCAGTTATGTTCCTTTATAACTTTATTTGATATGCAATCAGGGGGGAGGGGGCATCATCTGTGTCCCATGAACACATTCCCTCTTTATTTAAATAATGACAAAACGTAGCTTTCACGCTACACTTTGAGGTCAAATTTATCTACAAATCGCCGGCTCTGGACTAAGACCGTGGATAAATTTGTTGTTTACGTTCATATCTGTAGATATGGATATAAATGTAGATAACTGTTAATCTTAAAATTAATAAACTGAAGATTAAATGTATAATTTGCACACTGTTAAGTAAATTCTTTTTTTTAAAAGGTTGAAAGAGCAATTTATCATTCAAAGAAGTATAAAATGAACTAAGTTAGCATTGATTGGTGGTTATTTATGCCATTTTCAGCAACGTTTTGATATTTCGAGGCGTTTTTGGCTGCAATTAGGTGGCCAGAATATCAGATGTCTACCAATCAGAATCAACATTTAATATTATACATTTGTTTCCCTTGCACGAGAAAGATATGTAGATTTGTTCACCTGATAAAGTTGATATTTCCCTGAGGTCAATACCCGAGGGAAATATGACTTTTTAGGGTGAACAAATCTTTTTTATTATACTTCACGTTAAAAAGCCAGATTTTAATTGGTTCATACGAGGGAGACAATTTACTCTATCCAATGGCTCAGCGGAAGAAATTTTTTTAAAATGTCACCCTCTCGTACGGACCAACCAAAAATCGACCATTCAAAAGACAATACATTTCATTTACATCAATGATACTACAGACAAAGTTAAGTTTTACGTTTTTTTTATTGATTGTGACCTTAATACCAAAAAAAAAATACTCTTGCTTCACTTCTGTTATTTTTGTACAACTGTAACGTTGTTTTGTAAGCAACTTAATATATCGTAACTTTGTTAAATTAAGTTTAAATAACAATGATGATAGGACATTCAGTCTAATAAATTAAATAACAGATAGCTAAGAAGGTGATAAAGCAGATTACTACCCATCGAAACAACATTGTTAACCGTGACTCCGCCGCGGTTGACAATGTTTTCTCGACGTTATAATCTGCTCTATCACCCTCTCAGCTATGTGTTATTTATATAATATCACCCTCAGGCAATGACAATAAATGTGTTATTCCATTGTCTATTTTTCTTTACTTTCTGAACTAAAAGTACAAACAGTGGAATGTGTATGTGTATATTTCATTGTTTCACTGAATTGAAGAATGGGTTAACTGTCTAATTTATTATTCCTAAATTTTTATAATTTCTAGATAAAATGCAAATATTAGGTACTTGGAGAAAAAATTAGACATTTCATAATGCCACGTAACTGCGAACAGACAAGTTCAACAAATTGTTTCCGGTAAGTTTTTTGGCTTAATCGAATAATTGAAATCATTTATTAAAAGTGTTATAAACTGGCTGTTTCTGTATTTGCCCTGTCATAGATCCTCGACCAGCTGTATTGGCCCTCGACTCTATAACAGGGCAAAAACAGAAACAGCCGGTAAATTACACTACAACAATTAGAAATTACTCAATATTTGTAATTGACAAAGTTACATAATGTTTCCACTATGAATCGTGGGTACGCCAAAAAATAATGATAAGGTTTTATTGCTTCCTTTTATGTTTATATCAGGAAAAATACATGTAAATCTTTTAAAAACAATATAATGCAATACAATTTTTAGGGAAAATTTAAACAAGAAAAATGATGAAAGCATTTGGTAACAATTGTCAGTCTTATACAAAAGGGAGTTAATTAATGACAGGAAAATTCACGCCCTGCGCTACATGAAACGATTTGATTAATCATACCTCGAATATTGTTTGGAATAGCATCTTCGTCTTTTTTTTCCATTTCTGCTTCTACGCATTCTGAAATTTAAATAGTTAGCAACAATGATACACAGTCAAACTGAATTTTTTCAACTGCCTTTTGTAAACTTAAGTAAAATAGACTATCCTCCAAAATCTATACTGAAGTACTAGTATCTAAATATCTTTGTCAAAGATTCCTCCCAATTCAATAATTTGACGAATCTCAATGCTTCATCGTATGAGAAAAGTTAAATACAAACACAGTTAGTTGTGGTATAATTGCCAATTAGACAACTCTCCCCAAAGAGACTAAATGACACAGAAATTAAAAACTTTAGGTCACCATACGGTCTTCAACAATATCAGGGTTTTATTTTTTAAGAATTAGCAAGCATGACCAGACGTGTAATATGTTACCCTTGTTCACACACACCTGGTCTTACTCATTGTTACTTGTTTTTGAATTAATGCGATTCTCCCAGTTGTTTTAACCTTAATCAGTATCCTTCAAATTGAATGATGAGATTTAAAAATAAAAACCTACTGTTGGCTCAAATGACTATATATTTGACAGAAAGAATTAATGTTTTAAGATTAATTCTCTCCCTCAATTCATTATCATAAATGTGAAGATGCCTGTCACACCTATGGTTTTGATTCTTTAGCATACCCGCCTACGTTGTAATCCTGCTAAGATTTTGCAAATGATTGACATAGAGGCAAACGTCCAGACCGACATAAATCAGACAACAAAATACAGTGGCAGATACAGCACCATTGGCGGGTTATAATGTTATTATGTTGTTTTTGTTTTATTTTGAAAGTTTTTTAATTTCTTTTTTAATAATAAGACTTAGTAGAAACAGTCATGGCAGTATGCATCATAGATGCACATGACGGGCAAGACATCAACGATAAACATGATACATCTGCATCGTGATGTCTTATAACCTTATAAAATGCTCAATAGAGCTATGAAACTGGCAAATAATATATTTTAAACCATGTATTTTTTTTATGTTTTTAAATGCAATCACTAACGATACAGCTGCCAGCTATAGATAACAACCTATCTTCCCAATTGTTGTTGTCAAGTTTTACCAAGTATCACTGTGAACTTAGTTTTCATAGTATACTGCAATCTCATGTGTATACATTAAGGTGTGGATGGGGTCCTTCATTTCTGTATTCTTTTCAATTTTATATATAAATAATTCGTCTAAATAACAGCCTAACAATGTTAGATTTTTTGTTCTTCCCTGGTCGGGATTCGACCTCATGCTACTGATAAATCGTTGCATCAAATCGCCTTGCACTATGCCAAGCGCGCTAGACTACTCGACCACCTAGGCTCTACAAATAATAAAGCTTTCGGTGGCCGGGTGTTACCTTTCCTCGTCAGTGTTTATCTAGCGTCATAACACATCACATGATATATAAGGCATGAAGATGGAATTTTTACAGATCAGCTGAATTATCTGTCGTAGAGGATCTTACAAATTAATGTAGGATGCAGTCACAGAAATAATCATATAATAAGTACGTCTGAACCAGTGACAACAGATTTAATCCATCAGATCATCAGTGATGGTGATACAAGGCTTAAAACAGATTCTTTATATATAATTCGTCTAAATATCATCCCAACAATGTTAGATCTGAAAATTTGGGGAAGCAATTTTTTTGTTCTTCCCTTGCCGATCTTACAAATTAATGTAGGATGCAGTCACTGAAATAATTATATCATAAGTACGTCTGAACCAGTAACAACTCTACGACAGATGTAGTTCACCAATGATGATGATATAAGGCTGAAAACACATTCTGTATATTATATAATTACGTCTAAATATCAGCCTAACAATGTTAGATCTGAAAATTTGCGGAAGCAGAAAGATAGGTTAAGATCTCATTAACATGTTTAACCCCGCCGCACTTTTGCGCCTGTCCCAAGTCAGGAGCCTCTAGCCTTTGTCAGTCTTGTATTATTTTTAATTTCAGTTTCTTGTGTACAATTTGGAGTTTAGTATGGCGTTCATTATCACTGAACTAGTATGTATATTTGTTTAGGGGCCAGCTGAAGGACGCCTCCGGTGCGGGAATTTCTCGCTGCATTGAAGACCTGTTGGTGACCTTTTGCTGTTGTCTGTTCTATGGTCGGGTTGTTGTCTCTTTGACACATTCCCCATTTCCATTTTCAATTTTATATATATATATATAGTATAGTATATCTATAATTAATTTAAAAATCAGCAGAACAATGCAAATTTTAGGAAGCAAATCTTATATATATAAATGTATCATGTGTATATAGTTAACTTTAATACGAGAGCCACATGTGCAACAGCGTTTGATTACTTTTTCGGAGCACCCGAAAACCTACACCACAATAGCGTTTGTTTTTCTACTGTTATCTCAAGAATAACCTTTAGTTTTCTGTTCAAATGAATATTTAAATAATATGAAACATGTAAATACTCACTTAATCTTAATTCGTGCTTGGTAGCCATCTGAAAAAAAAATTCTAGTAAGTTCATTTGCCATGTTTGAATCATCTTACTTTTTTTGAAAATATTAAATTTATTTAGAAATAAATTGTTTCTCTTAAGATAGAGAACCAAATGAAATAACAGATCTGGGTTCAAGTTTGATCATTTTAATTGTTTGCCCTTTTCTTAAATTGTGTACCCCTTAAACAAAGTGGTAAATTGATATTCAAATTTATATAGTTTGATTTAGAAGACAAATGAAGGTTGCAAACGAACACTGAGGTATTGGAATGAACTGCTATGATAGTAGAGTCACCGGCACACAACAGCTCATAATATTGCCTTTGCCCAACCAGGAAATATAAGGTTGGAGAGGGGAAAAAAAATAAGCACTCTTAATGCATTTTATAGGCATTCTGAAACACGGGGATTAATAATACATATAGTTTATTCATCCGAAGAAAAGGTCACAACTCCCCAAGAACTAGTAAGCTTGGATTCAGAAAAAACATGAATAATGTGTCCATGTAAAAAGTTAAATCACAAAAATACTGAACTCCGAGGAAAATTCAAAACGGAAAGTCCCTAATCAAACGGTAAAATCAAAAACAAAAGCACATCAAACGAATGGACAACAACTGTCATATTCCTGACTTGGTACAGGCATTTTTCGTATGTAGAAAATGGTGGATTAAACCTGGTTATAAAGCGCTAAACCTCTCACTTGTATGACAGTTGCATCAAATTCCATTATATTGACAACGATGTGTGAACAAAACAAACAGACAGAATATGTAAAAATGTCACAAATAGGGGTACAACAGCAATACGAACCCCACCAAAAACTGAGGGGTGATCTCGATTGCCCCGGAAGGGTTACCTTGTGTACTTGTGTGTTAAAATTCAATTCACATTGCGTTGATCTACTATTAAAGAGGGTTAATATAGCTATCTAATTGAGACCACCTTGACCTAAATATGCAATTTATATGACACTCGAAGCTCAACAGCCAACCGTAATTATTCTTACAGTTGGACAATGCTTGTTTTGCTTCTTACAAGGAAAATATCTTAAATATCTTAAGTATTTTCACTGTCTTCAAGAAAAATTGACATGATATTAAAAATTCAGAGAATAAATCTTGATGGGTAATGTAAACAAATAACAGTTAAACCCTAAATAAATTTGGAGATATCAGAGAAATCCTTCATTTGCTTGCTAAAATGACTGATTCATTAGATATCACATCTTTCCTAAGTAGTATGACTTTTACTGTATTCATCGAGACTATTCAGGAAGGTTTAGTGCATTCATTTATGATCTGTCTTGCTTTTTAATGACTTTCTAACATTATATATACTACCAGATACAAAACTGCAAGGAATGTTTGAAGAAAATAAAATGATCATCATTGAAAAAATAAATAAAACAGACATCACAAATATACTGGATTGATTTAAGATAACAGTGAACGACCATCGAGTCTCAATTCAATATAGTGTTGATGAAAAAACAAAAAAATCGGGAATGTTGTGGTGTAAAATCTTAAAAATATTCTGGGGCTTGATGTGCCGGAGGGGATAACTGGACGTTGAAATTTTAACCAAAAGAATATATCAGTCAATTTCTGAAAAATTGGTGGCTGAAAATCCCATCTGGTAAATACTTATGTAGACTGTTGACACATTTTGTTAATGTAACATACACTTTCTAATTTTTGTATCCTTTCCAAGTATTTCTGTAAACCAGTTTCTAAATCATTCAATTCTTTGTGCACTCTAATAAACTGATCGTCTGTTTCATCCATCGGCGCCAGTACATATTTACTGAGAACATGTGTATGTTGACGAATTTCCTCTGCTATCTCCAAACCAAGTGTTGTTCCACTCAGGAAATGTTTACCTGTAAAATTAAGACCTTTCTTGTCATATATTATGGTAAGGATTTTGGGCTTTGTTGCAAAAAATACAAACTTTTAAATTTGTGTTGCTGTACGTGTGTCGTTTGTTTGGCTGTTCTGTAGCAATATGTAAGTCATCAGAATCGCGGTATAACTACGTACTGTAACTTACATCATCAATGGTCTAAATAAATTGAGTCCATTTCAGATGAACACCGTCAGACCAAATTGTAACTTTACATTCATTTAATTATATAAATATTGTCAGCCTAAAACAAATATATTATTGGGAACAGACCTAAGGTTTTTCTAGTGTCTACCATAATGTATTTCTTTTTTAGATTTAAATCACTTGTGTTTTCCCTGATGAATTGTTACACCTTATTCATCTTGTGGCCTTTAATGACCAACAATATGGTTTTATTCATGTTTGATGGTTTTCCAGGGACATGTAGTCGTTCACGTTTTTGTTATGTTCTGTTTGTTGGGTACATTAATGAGAATGCAGAAAACAACATATATCCTAAATGCATTTACCATGTGTTTCCCAATTCTCTAGTTGTCTCAAGATTCTCTTTTCCTTTTCTTCAGTAAGTTTGAGTTTTCTTATAAGATGTCTCATCAACTTGATAGAATATGCATATTTTTCTTCAGTCCATTCTGCTATGTCGAAATGTGCCCAGGGATTGCGTACGTCTGATCGAATCTTATAAAGATATATGTAAGAAAGAGCAAAAATTTGCTTAAGGAAATTTTCGGATTTATTATTATTGTGCTGATATATAGATATAGGAAGATGTGTATATATAAATTGTTTTCAATTTAGACTTGTTTATTTTTTTTCGTCTGGGCTTGTATTATATTTTCCTTCGGGTTTATATTATCCGTTCAACCTATTTCGACTCTTTAAAATTCAAGAGTCTATCCTAAATTTAGGTAAATTATATGGCCTTCCAAATACCGTTTCGATCCTTAACATCACTGAAGAGACATTAATTGTCGAAATCCGGATATGGTGTACAAATTTTTGCACCTCATGTTTGCGGTATACAATCTTTTCCGCAAGTTTATTGTTTTCTGTATTGTGTATTGCGTCTAGATGTCCTTGTTTAATTCATACGAGAAGGTAACACCCCGAAACGAAAGCTGATTTTTATCAGCTATAGTTAGAGGAAGGGATAAGGTGTCTGCGCAATGCTAGGTAGAGGTCCCATCTATGAAGAAAAAAAACGGTTAGGAATTGTCACCCACTTCTTATCCTGCTATAGTATTACCTATGTAGTTTCAACATTAATTCAAATGTCACCTCTCTTATCAAACTATATATTATATGGTTTCTCTGGACTCGACGGAGTTTATTTATATACGTAAATCATTTACATGAACTCGTTGCGACTACTTTATGGCATACAACAGAGAATGTATATGAATTCATCGCTATGTTTGACAAAATAACTTATTTTTACACATTGCATAGTTTAAAACCATTTTTTAAATACCTCTATAGCATCATCCTGTACACCCGCGGGAAAATAGTCAATGTTAACAATGATTCCAAGTAAGGCAGATAAATCACATGAGTCATTAAAATCCGTGAAGTTTGCCATGCCTGTCTTATAGAACAATCGGGATAAATCCACAGGACATCTGACTTTGTAATCATAATCATATCTATTCCCTCTATGTTTAGTTTTGTTATTGTTAATTGCTTCATAATTTAGTTCTGTGTTTGTAGGTTCGTCTATTTGGAGATATTTCTCATACTTTTGTTTATCAATTCTGTACTTATCTGTAAGTGATTCATAAAGCTCTGTAACAAAGTGAACAACATATGTTCTCAGTACTGGTGATATGATTGTTTGGAGGCAGATACCGACCAATATCCATCTCTTTTTCCTGTCATCTAAATCATCAGGTGGACCTATAAATTTCATATTTCATTGTTGATACTTCTATATGTGAATGGATATATGTTGTAAAGCGCTTAAGGTAATCTTAATATTATATAATGCGCTGTTATAAATACTGTATGATAGTAATAATTATAATTACTAGATATACGCTGCATTGAAGACCCATTGGTGACCTTCGGCTGTTGTCTGCTCTATGGTCGGGTTATTGTCTCTTTGACACATTCCCCATTTCCATTCTCAATTTTATACAGATGCAAATAGATTGAAACATGAGAATTGTTTAATATTATTCCACATTTAGAGTCAAATACGTTGTGCCTGCTTTCTACATTTTTGGTTGTTTTCAATTCTCTCTGCTGTTGTATCTTTTATTATTGGTGGGATTGCGCTTGCATTCATGTGTTTTAGTATGCCAGTAGTTGATCATGAAAATACACAATCATGTCATGTATTATTTGCCATGTCAGGAAAAAGGTTTACATGGACATCATGCAGAGTTCTTTAAATATGATCCTTTGTCATAATTTTCCTGAAGTTAAGTGGCAATCAGGTCATCACATAATTGTTTAGATTATAGATTTTAGATTTTGTGCTTTGGATGCTTACATGCAACTATTACCAATTTTTCAAATGTAAAAGTAAGTAAGCTTTATCACATGTTGTACTAGGCCTGCATTTGGTACTTTAAAAATGGTCGTCAGTCAACTGATTTGTTCATGACTTACAGCAATTTTTGCTATAAGTTTTTTTATGAAAAAACGTCCAGGATTATATTCTGTTATTCCATCCTCATACTGTTCAACTATCTTGTAAAGTTTCTTCAGTATTTGTCTAACTGTTTAGAAGGAGTTGTGCTAAGAAAGCACATTTTAAGACAGAACAACAAACAAATTTATGGAGGGATAGGTTGATTTGAATCCTATTTATAACTTCCTAAAATCCTTATTTGGCATATATATTAAATACATTTCTTTCAAATTGGTAGTTCACTTCATATTTAACATGGATAAATTCAGCATGCATTTACAACGAGCAGGACGAATTTTCGTTCCCTCTTGTTAATATCGGAAAATTTTACTTTTTGGACGATGATGTTCCTTTGGCCCCGGTCATCTTAATGTGTTCATTGTTTGCTATGACATTCTTTGATGTAATAGATTTCAATGTATGCATCATTGGTAAATTATAAGTCAGGGATTTCACAACTTACTTAAAACCTAAATATAAGTTCCTTCACTAAATTCTTTCATGGATACAAAGATTTGGCTGTTTATGTTTATGTAGAATACTATTAAAAACAAGATATCATATCCTGATTTTTACACTGATGTTGTTTATAAAGGTCGTCTTTTTAGATACGATCCATGTAATTTATCAATCCTTTCAATTTAATTATGCTGAAAGTTTTTTAACTTTACACTGTTAAAAGATCTTTAAGTATAGTTTTCTTTGATACAAACATTGATTTTGATAGCCATAGATTAAGACATAGCTAAACATCATTGCTTTACATCTATGAACATTTAAAGGTTTACATTATGTCGATATTTATATTTTGGCATTGTACAAGATCATGTGTAGTTTTCTCCCTCTAATGGTGTAAGTACTAGTTAATAATCATGACAAATTCCACTACCAAACTCGAATTTAACAGTAAGAGATTAATAGCACTGCAACTGACCTCGAAAAAGACGCTAAATTAACGAGTTTAACGTACCGGAATAACACACGGCTGGAAATTGTTTTAAATGGTAGAATACTATCTATATCGTAATTCCCCAAATATTGATGAATTTACAGATTTTATTAGGATAATAATTCCACTAAGTAAATGTTCAGGCATTTCACTGATTATGTTTTCCACTAAACCAACCGTTAAATCAATGCAAGTCACACCGATGATTTTCTTAAACCTCGCATTCGCCTCGGTTGAGTATGATATTTTTGTGTTATAACTGACCTTTCCGACTTTGCAAAAACACAATATTTAGTTATCTATAACCAGATACTAATTTTCCGAAAATATACATCCTTTTTGATGCAAAATTAAAAAAACACTGTTTCAGCGCTTGAATTGTGTCTTTTTTTTTAGGAATTTTTTTTTTTTAAATAATTCGATAAATTTGTGTTTTACAGTTTAAAAATTAATTCTGTTGTATGCTGTAGTGAAAAATGATAAGCACTATGAAAGTTAATGGATGTGAAAAGGTCGGGCCACTTCTACATTTGCTATGTCATATATTGAAAACAAATCAGAAAGTTCAAGATTAACGCCATTTTGTAATGGCAGCTCTTCATACATGTCATATAAATAGTCCAATTTGTCGTTTTGACATCCTTTGCAGCATATCGCTTTTGTAGCATTGTAATGCATATATATCAGTAAAAATTCTCCCTTTTTTCCTCGTGGTTGAATTAAAGATATGTTTAGTCTTGACCTTTGACCATTATTTAACCACTTTGGGTTTTTACGACCAAACTTTCTTATTCTACACGTTTTTCTCTATCCATTAATATAAAATGTAGGTGTGTGTTCTTCCAGCACATTAAAGTTTTTAAAAAAAGGAACTCTGGTTGCAGTACTAGAAATGAATTGTTGTACATATGTACAGGAGTAACTAAGTTGACCAATGTATTGACCTTGACCTTCACTGTAGGGAATCCTCAAAGTATATGAAACTACTGTTGAAGGCTGATTTTGAATAAATGCTGTGAGGTTGATGTTCTCGGAAACAGCTTAACTTCAGTTAAATATTGCAAGTGGTAAGTTGTTATAATTTTGTTTCAACATTCTGATTGAGCTGTCACATGATGAATTTTATCAATATGAATTTGGAGACAACTACTGTACTTTCGTTTTCAGTAAGCATGCCATTTTGATTTATTATCACGTGTTCAGATCCATTTAATGCAAACATGATGAGATTTTACTAAATTATCGTTTTTCTGAAAATAAAAGATATCCAACTATTCATGATCATATGTTTGTTTTTGTATCATTCAAAATTGTGCTGTTTTTAGCTTTAATCAATTTCGTTTGTGTTCACATATTCATTTCTGAAAACTGCATAAGCATCTTTAGCGTTTAGTTTATAGTTTGATATATGAGTATCTATATCAGTATACATAGGATCAAATACGTTAAATCCCAATACTAAAGTTTTTTCATATTTAAAACATGTGACCCTATCTTGGTGTTGCTTACAAGCACATATACCTAATTCCAAACTTCATAAAAGTATTGACATTTAGTAAAAAAAGTGTTCGTAGTATTCAGTAAAATTGCACAGAACAAACATACTGGTATCTTGGTTTTTTTGATGTGTAAATACACACCCACGTTTATTTTCTATATAGAGATTGCCTCATCTATATATAACGTTAGACATATTCATTATAAGATTAAATCCAAACTATCCTACGGCCTATCGATACTTTTATTTTGGCATTGCACAAGTCACGTCTTCTTTGACTGTCCATTGCATAGAAATACTAAATCCATGGGATGTGTTTTAGTTGAGTTTAGTCTCTAATGCATGATTTTCTATTATTAATTGTTGTTGGCTCTTAACTAGCTTTCAGTAATTGCGTGTACTCTCAAATCGTGCGTTTGTGTTAATTTGACATGTTTTACAAAGTGTAATGCATTTCTGTTATTCAATGATTATTTATTTTGTGTTTATCTTACTATTTTTAATAGGTACTACCTTTGGTAAGTATTTAGTACGACGACAAATTTTCACTGCTGTTCTCGTACTATGAAAAACAACTTTATTTAGTTTGTAAA